GGGCGGGAGGGTAGGTAGGATGATGGAGAGGTCGTCAAGATGGTTTCGATAATTGCAAACGGGCGTTCGGGCGTCCCGCTGGCTCAGCGGATACCGACGTATCGTCTCACAGCTCCTGCGCCACCGAGCGCTGGGCTGTTAGTCGCAGACCCGAAAACGTCCTTGGCACCTGGTGCGACGTGTCGGTGCTGAGAACCAGATCGACTACGAGGATGATGCGTGGTGCTATCTCCACTTTCAGAAGACGCATTCTCCTTGTCCTCTCCACGATGAGCTCGACGAATCTTTTTGCTGCTAGACTTTTTGCTCGGCTGAGCGTCGATCATGCGAGCTTTGCCTTTGCCCAAAGAGGCGCCTCTACTCGATTTGCCCACGTTGGCGTTCGTGGAGCCGAGAACTCCTTTGCCATTGGCGCATGCTACGGGCGGACCAAGTGGGGTCCAGCTATTCCCCTCGTTGGGAGAAGACAGGTCAAATACTCCCCAGGGAGACAGATCCGCTTTGCCAGACGCAGCAGGCGCGCTCTTCGTTTGAGCGGATGCAACCTCGACCTCTTCCACACTGCGCTTGCGGCCTTGAGGACTGACAGAGCGTCTGTCGCTGGCGACTGGTGGCGAAGAGGCGAGCTCCATAGCGTCGCTTGGCTGCTTGGCGTTGCGCGACGAAGGCTTGGTTGGACTTGCAGTGGCGGCTGCGGCTGCGCTGCCGGTGAAGCCTTCGAAAGGTAGCGAAGCGGCAGCAGCCAGGGCGCTCTCGCGCAAAAGATCAGAACGAGCTTTGCTCTGAGTGCGCAGCGCAGGACTAGTCTCCGCAGCGTCGCCTTCAGCTGCCGTTGAGGAGCCAGTCCGACCACGTGGGCTTCCAGCATTACCCTGCTTAGGACGTCCTCCTGCGCTGTAGGGTGTCAGTCTGGTCTTCTCAATGTGGGGCGTCAAGCCGGTCGAGCGCTGGGAGAAGGAAGTAGAGCTGGAACTTCGCTTGAGGCTTGCGCTTGCCATGTGCGAGACCTCGTCCGGCTCAGCCATGACATCTCGGAGTGGAGCTTGAGGCGCGGCGCGAGAGAAGTGGGGATCAATGGTGGCGCTGACTGGAGGAAGCACAAACCTCACGCCTAGACCTTGCAGTCCTTGGCTGCGAGGCATGCCACCTTCGATTTGTACCGTGCGTTCTCGTTCCATCTCTGCCGCTCGGACAGCTCTTGGCGTCCAGGAAGGGGCGGTCGCTGGAGGGGCAGTGTGTGGTTGACCTTCGAAGCGCAAGTCAGTGTTCCAACTAGACGAAGCGAAAGAGGCCGAGGGTGGGCTGGTAGGCAGAAGGTCTTCGAAACGACCAGACGAGGCGTGGAGGTTGGGAGCGCCGGGTATTTGATGAGCGGAACGCGGCATACCTCCGACCATCGGTGTAGCCATGGGCGAGTTCATGCTGAAAGATCCAAGGCGAGGGGTCAAATCTGTCGGAGATCCTTGCGCAGGGTTGGAAGAGCGGCTGGCAGAGAGGGACAAGCCCAAGCCCTTGATGCCCTCATCTCTTGGCATGTCCATCCATCTGCGAGCGCGGACGGCTTCATCAGAAGGTCCCGCCTGATCGTTGGGAGTTGCCCAGCTGGCGCTGGGGCCTGAAGGTAGGGCAGCGTAGCCGATACGAGGAGCGCGAGGCACCGCAACGTCGGAAGAGCTACGGTTGTAGCCAGGTCGAGTCCACTCGGCCTCAAGTCCGGGAAAAATGCCGGTAGCGCTGGTCCTGGGCGCTGCTACATCCGCAGGGCATGAAGCTGGCACGATGTGCTCCTCGTCTTGTAGTACCTCCTTGTCGCTTGACTCGCTCTCGCCGCTGATATGACGGT